ATCTATCTATCTATCTATCTATCTATCTATCTATCTATCTATCTATCCCTGTCGTTTGAATGCGAATTCCTCCCCCGCTCCCACAGACACATACGTTTGAATGTTAGGTCCCCAGTTAGTAGAACTGTTTGGGAAGGTTTAGGAGGTGTGGCCTTGCTGAAGTAGGTGTGGTTTTGTTGGAGGAAGTGTGTCAGTGGGGATGGAGTGGGGTGGGGTTTGAAGTTTCAAAAGACCATGTTAAGCTTAGTTTCTCTCTACTTGCTGCCTGTGGATCAGGATATAAAGCTCTCAGCTACTTCTCCAGTATCATGCCTGCCTACCTGCCAACCCACTCCACAACATGATGGTAATGAAGCCATAAGCAGGCTCCCAACTAAATGCTTTGTTGTAGAAGTTGCCTTGGTCATGGTGTCTTGCAGCAAAAGAACAGTATGACAGCAATTAGTACCAGGAGTACCAGGAGGGACAAGCCTGACCATGCTGTTTGTTGGAGGAATATGGAAGACTTTGGGACTTTGTACAAGACAAGTGGTTGAATGCTTTAAGCCTGGCTTAACAGACCATCCTAGTAGGCGCATGGAGGACAGTGGTGCTGAAGATGATGCGGACTATGTAGGCTCAACTCATCAATTTTCTGGGGAAGAACTATTAGCAGGTGGCCTAGAGATCATTCTTGTGCTATTTTGGCAAAGAATGTGACTGCTTTTGGTCCTTGTTTTAAAAATCTGCCTGAGCATAGTTGAAGAGTTTTGTGTTGCTACTCTTGGCAGAGGAGATTTCAAGACCATCTAGTATTGACTGTGCCATGTGGTAATTAGTGACCACTCTTCTACAATCTACAATGAGAAACACAAAATGTACAGTTTGAGGGGAAAGAGAACACCAGGAAGTGCAATGTGAAAGCCAAGCTCTGTGCTCAGGTTGTTAAAAAAAGGGGGGGGGGCTTGTTTCAAAATGGAATAGAGGGAGTGGTAACCTCAGAGCAGGACACACCCAGCTAATCATGCAACCTGTGAAAGAAAAGGCCTGAGGGATTTCCTAGGCTTCAATAACAGCAGCAGCAGCAGCAGCAGCAGCAGCAGCAGCAGCAGCAGCAGCAGCAGCAGCAGCTTCAACAACAAAAACAATAAGGGAAAGTTTATGCAAATGAAAAGCAAATGGAGGCAGGGGAGGGAAAGGTTACAGTTCCAGCAAGCAGAAGAATTTAGCAGCTTTGGCCACAAAGCTTTATCAAGTTCTAGCTTTACCAAGGAATATACAGGAAAGGGACTGTGGAACCTTCCTCTGTGGTTAGAGAAAGCCGCGGAGACCAGGTGCCAGGCAGGCGTCTCTCTGTATGGAGACCCATAGAGATGACTGTGTGAAGCTGGGGAGGCAGTGTCTGGATTACACTGGAGACTCCAAGACGCTCGAGATGCCAGAGCTGTGGGACACCTGCCAAGGAGAGCTGCTAACAGGGAGTGGAACCGGCCCAAGAGAGAGAAGTGTGAGGTTGTCAATGAAGCTGGAAGGAGTTGGCGATCCGAAGAGCATTTGACATCAGATGTGAAGAAGCGGAGTTTGGAGTTTGCCCAGCTGGGGTTCAGTCTTGCTTTGGTCCAGTATTTCCTCACAATGCCCCGCTTTCCTCCCTTTTGAAATGGTAATGTATATTCTGTGCCATTGAATGTTGGAAGTATGTGATTTGCTTTTTTGATTTTATAGGAGGTTACAGTTAAGAGATTGCCTTGAGTCTCAGAAGAGACTTTGGGCTTTAAAACTTTGTTGAGACTGCAAGACTCCAGGGACTCTTGAACTTGGACTAAATGCACTTTGCGTTATGATACGACCCTAAGCCTGTGGGGGCTTGGACGAGAATGGCCCCATGGGTTCATTTGTTTGAATGCTTGGTCCCCAGTTATTGGAATGGTTTGGGAAGGTTTATGAGGTGTGGCCTTATAGGAGGAGATATGTTACTGGGGTGGGCTTTGAGGTTTCAGAAGCCCACGCCAGGCCCAGTGTCTCTCTACTCTCAGCCTACTGGTTAGGATGTAGCTCTTAGCTGCTTCTCCAGCATCATGCCTTC